CGCACGCACGTCCGCAGGTCGGGCCACGCGGATGCCGGCGCAGGCTAAGGGGCGCCGCCGCGGCCTGGGGGAGGGAGCGGGACTCAAGTTCACCGGCTGGCTCCGGGGTCTCACAGCCCCTCGCCCACTCCCCATTGTGCCCCCACCCCCGCCTCGGGCAGCCGGGAGCCGGATCTTTGCGATCTGCTCTGCCCACTGGAGTGGGAGGGGGGCCAGGCCGAGCCGCGCGGGATTGGTGGTGGGGGTGGGAGAAATCGGCCGCGAATGCGGGAGCGGGGTGGGGGGGGCAGGAGGGAATTTGCAGCGCGGGACGGCGGAGAGCTTTGGGATGGGGGGTTTGTGCTAGGTTGCCCGAGGCCATGGGGGGGCCCACATATCGGAACCGACTCCCCAGACTCCCCACCTCCAGCACAGGCCAGGGTACCGGCCGGCCGTGCGCCCCGCGAGCTCTGCTCCCGGGAACCGGGTTCTCTGTGGGCAGCGACTTGGGGTCTGCAACCCCCTGAGACCCGGGCTGCGGCGCCCGGCGCCTGTCCCCGCAGCTACCAACTTTTGTGGTCCGGCAGACAAGCAAGCAGCGCGGGGATGGCGCTCGCCAGGCAGCGGCGTGCCCCCCGAAAAGGTCCAGGCCAGACCCAAAGGCTCCCGAAGCAGCAAAACACCACCCTCCCCCCCTTAACTCCGCTTGCCTCCCCCCTACCCACACGCACGGGAAAAGGGGGGCATGGAGCCCGCTCCCCAGCTTTGCAGAAACAGCTCGAAGCTACCGTCATTTGGTCTCCACCCGGGGTCTCCGGCGCGCCCGGGTCGCTCCCCAGCAAAGCCCAGCCAGGTCCTAATCAATCACGTGCGTTATTTCGTGCATCACATCACCCGTCATCTTCTACGAGGCCAGCAGACGATGGAGGAAAAAAAAAAAAATCGCTTAATGCAACCCCAGCCAAGCCTGTTTTCCTTTTTTCTCTCGGTTAACCCCCCCGCGCCAAAAAAAGCACCCCAGGAGGTGGTAGCTGAGTTTCCTTAAAGAACAAGAGGGGGGAAAAAGGGGGGGGGGAGAAAAAAAACAAAACAAAACAGAAAGCCCGTGGTTGCTCACAGTCTTCCAGAAGTAGTCTTGTCTGTGTATCTCCAGTCCCGGTTTGCAGAGAACTGGCGCTGAGCTCCTGCTCTCCCCCTACTGCAGATAAATTTTTTTCCTCCTCTCCCCGCCACACTCTTCTGTTTATTTGTATGTAAGACAGCGCTACTTTGTAAACACATCACACACGGCCCCAGAGCCCTTCAAATAGCTGATTGCAGCAAAATGCTTCCAAACCAAGGGGGTCCCAATTTTTTTTTTTTTAAGTGAAAAGGAAAAACAAAATCAAATATTTCTGTGGAGCTGTGCATGAAGCTGACACAGGACGCGCCACACATACATGTCCACCCTCCCACCCACACCTAAGAAATGGAGCGGCAGATGGGAGAAAAGTCTTGTTCGGATTTCCAAAATAAAATGAAAGAAAAAATGCTGGATGAAGTGAAGCTCAAGCGCCTTTGGTGAGGCTTTTGCTGGGGAGAGCACACACAAGTCCGAATGTTTAAAAGGCTTTAAAAATGCATCAGGAACCCAGAGACACGTCTTAAAACGGCACCTACCTTAGTCGTGGAAAAGCTGCATTAGCTGGGGCTGCTCTTTTTAACACGTCCAGATTTTTTCTAGGGAAGCCCTGGCTGAGGGTAGGATTCGGGGAGGCTGTGTTGCATCCAGGAGCTGGTGCCTTCTCGAACTCCCCACCAGAGCTGCTCCTCCAAAGGAATGTGGGGACCACCGCGGCGGCCGTTTGGAGGAAATTCGTTGTTTCGGCCCTAAAGGGTCAGGAGGAGCAAGCAACCGAGTCGTAGCAGGAAAGGGCAGAGCGAGGTCTGAATAAGAGCTCTGTGCTGAGAGACAGAGACGGGTCTGCGCGGAAAAGGGGAGATTGAAGACAGAGCTCCCGATGTCTCCCCGATCCCCCTCGGCTATTGGACCAAACTGAATGAAATTTACAAAGCCAGCAACCAATAGATCTCCGCACTCGGTCCCAACAGAAACCACATCCTCAGCTACAAGCGAATGCGAAGAGCCGCTAATCCCAGGGCAAACCAGCTGTAGCAGAGATCCCCGGGGCCGGGGTGGCGAAACAGGTGAGCGCGTCACACTGGGCCACCATGCCACCACCGGGCGCGCAACGAAGCTGGCTCCCTGGCTGCTCGGCTCTCCTCCACCCCCAAACTCGCTACAGTATTTGCAAACATCTTTAACTCTTGGAGGTTTGCACTGCAAGGGCGCAAGCAGAGAGGAGCTATTCCCTGTGGTCAGGCTCACAAATGTGTTACTGTTGGCTATATTGGGAAGCAAGAGTATCTTTTTTTTATTTGGCACCAAATTGCGGTGGAAGGTCTGTAAAGGACAGGACCCTCCCTGATGCCCAGGTGATGGGTCGATGGCTTTTGTTGGTTTCTTTTCTGATGTAGTCATGTTTTTGATGGATACAACCCTGGAGATGTTGCTAGAATTTGGCCAGTTATTCTTACATAGCTCATCTTTGCTTCCAGGGTCCAGGAGTTTATCTTTTCCTGGCCAATTCTAACTTTGGTGATATGAGCTGGTATTTATCATTGGCTTAGAAGGAGTTGGCTCTGCATGGGCAATGTCTGAGGGTCCCTAAGTGGTAAGTCAGGGGACGCCGTGTAGTGCGGTGGTTAAAACTACGTTGCTTGGGCTCAAGTTGCGTATGACCTCAGGCGTGGATTTAAATGTTCTGTCTCTGTCTCTGCATCCGTAAAATGGAGAAGATAGAAGTAAAGACTTCCTCGTATCATCGTGATATGAGCTGGGTTAACACAAGGACTCAACATGCAAGAAGCTCTAAATTAATGCTTGCTTTTCTTAAAATTATTTCACAGGCCCAAGAATTTATTTATTAAAGGAAAGAGATACTGTCCCCTACCCAAAGGACATCCTCACTATTGCTTCTGCACTTAGACGACAGACAGAGGCATCCAACCACCACTCAGTATTTGCTGTGTTGGGATAATTAGGGATTCCTCACACGTTTTGAGAGAGGAACTCACGGTGGGGGGGGGGGTGGCCAATAAAGGGGAAGGTGATGCATACTGAGTCAGGGGACCTACTTTCATGTTTGGTGTCTACCCTTGCTAGCTTTGACGTATTGGAAAGTCTGTCATATTCTGTGAATCCGAGAGATTACATCTGTTAAACAGTAAAATCGGTCTTTGTGAGTTTCTAAGCATGATTAAGTGAGATACTATGTATGAAAACACCTTTTATCAAAAAGATGTATACAAATACATATGCCTGCACATATAGAGGAAACTTATATGTTTTATACAAATACATTTTTCTTCTATTATTGAATAGCTATGTAAGATCCAGTAACATAATAGTATCGTTAATAAATATGGCCTCTCCCCCAAATCAGTGACGTATATAGATTCAGTACAAAAATATAGATGTAGACATATGTGTTTCCCAAAGCAAAGCTTAGAAAAGAGCTTCCACTTAACACAGTAGTTTATAGGAGGCTAGAAAGTCATTGGCTTTGCCAAGAATGTATTAATTAATTGACTGATTTATGAATTCAAGTGTTTGTTAAGCACGGGCATAATCCTAAGCACTGAAAATGCATTTGTGAGTAAGTCACACCCATTTATTTTTGAAGAAGCATATGGTCTGGTGGGCAAGGTAGCCAATAGGTAAGAAAAGGAAATGAGGGCGCCTGGGTGGCTCAGTTGGTTAAGCGACTGC